TTAAATGATTAAATTGTTTTATACAATTATTAAGAAATAATCTTCAGACGATGTAAGGCAGAATTCTGTTCGTCTGGACAAAATTCTAAACAACAGTTTGATACGTCCATTTTTTACCGGATAATAGTATTTTTTTTGGGTGAAAATGATTGATTGAGAAAAATCCATTAACTTAAGCTTGTGGGCCATACCAGTTCTTGGCCAAAAACCATCGTTTAGGGTTCTGAGATCGTGTTTATTAATTTGCTAAAAAGTGTCAGAATATTTTTGTGATTTTTGTTGGAGGCTGAAAGGAAATCCAATTGTCCTCATATTTTAAATTTAGTTATTTTTATTGATTATGTTATTTATTATTTTTTTCTAGAATTTTTAGAGGAACTTTATTTGTAGGCTTATTTTCGGAATTGCGTTCATCGCACTAAAACTCAATAAATTTCAAATAATGAGTTAAATACAGAGTATATGTTTGATAAATAATATTAATCATATTAAAAATATATTAGGTATTGTATTAGAAGATAATACTCGTAATTGGAGTATATAATGTAGTATGGTAAATACTATTAAGCGTAATTATTCATGTTCGTTAATAAATGATACTTATCATTTTGTTGTTATTATTGGATATTTTGATAAATGATATTGATCATATTATAAATGATGTTAATCCTAATGTGATTTATTATGATTTATGTTATTAAATTTATTATAAAAGATGTTTATCTGAATGTGATTTAATGAGATTTATGATATTAATCATATTACTTATGATGATTAATTATAATAAGATTGTAGTTTTGTTTATGATACTAATCATATTGGACTACTTTGGGATATTATAATAAATGATGTTAATTATGTATTTCTATTATTAAATAATGATTATCATATTAATGATTTGTACAATGCACAAGGATGAACTTATTTAACTTATAAATTGTAATTGGTAATAATCATTTATATATAAGTTGCGTGCATTGTGGAGAACATGTAGGTTGGCTAATAAGCATAAACTCGCTTTTATTATCTACCTTGGTTGTGTTGGATTTGATGCCATTATTGGATATGGCTATGATGAGACTAATGTGTGTATGTGATGTAATCATTGAGATGGCTAATAAGTTAGGCTCCTTGATATTGTTGCCATTGTCAGGATATGGTTTTGTTGTATTGATGAGTATAGGTGGACTAGCTAATAAGTTAAATCCATTCTATTTAATGTCATTGTCAGGGTATGGCTGTGTGATATGTGTATGTGTGAGTGAGCTGGCTAATAAATTTAGACTCACTCTATGTTGTGCCATTGTCAAGATATGGCTATGACATTTTATTGTTCCATTGTCAAGATATGGCTACAATATCTTATATATATGTTGATGTGTCATTATCAAGATATGGTTATGGTAGTTTATATTTTGGTGTGTCATTGTCAGGATATAGCTAGATATATATCTATGTGTGCCCTAATACAAGCTTGAAGTCTCGGGATCAGTGGTTAGTACTGAGGCATATATTGCCGGTTGAGATAGGTAGCTAGATATAGGAGATATGTGTGCCGTGGTAGAAGGAGGACTCATGACCAATTTATGTGCGATTTTTCATGAGATACCCACTACACGATTGAGACTACCCTATAGTCCAATGAAAGTCTTTAGTGTGTGTGTGTGTGTGTGTATGTGTGTGTGTGTGTGTGTATCAGTTATGTAGTTATTGCATGAGTTTATTTAGGGATGTATTGTTTATCAGTTCTCTGATTAGGTTGTAGTAGAAAGAACTTGTTTAATGGTCTGACCCACTATTTATTTTTTAGGTCCACGTCAGTTCAGACTTAAAGCGCGTACGTGCTGATCAGAGAGCTTTCAAATTCACTCTTCCGAATTTGTGATGTAGGACATTATCTTAGACTTCATTTATTGTTTAGACTTATTATTATTTCACTTTTGGATTTTAATTAAGGGTCCATGTTGTACGGATTCCAGAGTTGTACTTTGGAGGATTTTTATTTATGGTTGCTTATGGAGGATAATTATTATGGGATTATTTCTTGGAGATTAATATCAGAGAAGTTATTAATTATTATTTATTTATTTTTCCTTTTAGTGCTTATATTTATTTCGTTTTGTATTTTGTGCTTGTTTTAAAATATTAATTGTTTGATATCCTCCGGTGTAAATAAGTAGAATTCTAGGGTTTCTTCAATCTTCATCAAATCAGTGATCTAGATTTATTTCCCCATAGTTTGGTTGGCAAGAAAGGTAGAAAAGAAAACAAAAAGAAAATAGGCCGGCCTTGCTTGGAATGAGTCTATTTTCAGAGTAACCAAAATACAGAAAACTTTATTTTTAACTGCTTGGATAAGTTTTTAAAGAATAGTTTTAGAAAACTGAGTTACAAGAGTTTGTAAATATGCCCAATCCATGCATGATATACACGTCTTAATGCTAATATTGCATTAGTAGACTTGGGAGAAAGGGAAAAAAAAAAACAAAAAAAGCAAAAAAAAAAAGAAGTTAATTGCATTAGTAGTTAACATCATAAAAATAAAAAAATAAGTGATGTGTAATATTTTTATTTTTTAGTTTAGAAAATTATTTTTAATAAATACAACCAAACAGTTTAATGAGTTTTTGTCTATGTTTATAGTTTTCCCAACCAAGCAGATTTTCAAACTTAAAAAATTGAAAAGTGTTTTCTGTTTTGATTCTATGAAAATTGTTCTTGAAAACCATTTTGAGAGTTGCAATTATTAGTTAAACCATGGCCTTTCAAAGGTTGGGCCATGGATCTAATCGGTAAGATTAATCCTCCTTCATCAAAAGGTCATCATTGGATTATTTTAGCTACCGATTATTTTACTAAGTGGGTTGAAGTCAAGGAATATGTTTTAGTAACTCATAACACGGTGATACAGTTTCTAGAGCGACATATCTTTCACCGATTTGGCTTACCAAAAACAATTGTTGCCGATAATGGATCTGTGTTTCGAGCAAATGAAGTATTACAACTCGGCATTGATATGCAAGTAAAAATGTTAACTTCCACACCATATTATGCTCAAGGGAATGGCCAAGCAGAGGCTTCAAATAAAGTTGTTATTGAAATTATTAAGAAAATAATAAAAGACAAGCTGAGGCGTTGGCATGAAACCCTTTCAGAAGCTTTGTGGGCTTATAGAAATTCGAAGCGGACAAGTACTGGGACAACTCCTTATCGGCTTACATTTGGTCATGATGCCGTGCTGCCAATGGAGTTAAATGTGAAATCGGCAAGAGTAGCTTTACAACACAATCTGATACCTGCCGATTACAATGAAGCTATACTTGCCGAGTTGGAAGACTTGGATGAAGTTCAGAAATTTGCTTTAGACCACCTTATGGTCTATAAAGCAAAGGTAATGAAGGCTTATAATAAAAGGGTGAAGTTCAAGTCATTTACAGAGGGTGACATGGTTTGGCAAACAATTCCTCCACCTGGAAAGATAGATAGAACTTATGGCAAATGGTCACCTACTTGGAAGGGACCATATATAGTCCATCAAGTATTACATGGAGGTACTTATAAATTGAAAGATTTGGATGGTGAGGTGCATGAAAGGCCAATAAATGGAAGATATCTGAAAAAATATCAACCCACTATTTTTGAACTTATGGAGGACAAGAAAGCCTCTAATAAGTCAAATATAGAGGGTCAGTGTTTAGTTTAAGCCATCTATTTTAGTTGTTTGCAAATGTGTTGAGCGGCTCTATAGTGCATACATAATTTTGTTACAATGGGTGTAGTTAAATTTTGGAAGCCGAAGGGTTAAAACGGCTATCAAAATTGGGGGGCATTGTTGACACCTATTTTGGTAATTACATAGGCATTAACGTGGCAATAAGCGTTGGTTTGAAATGGAACATTCTCGGCAAAATTACTTGGCAGTGACGTGGCTATAATTTGGGCTGAAATGGGTTTATATTGTTTACGTGGATTAAAATGCATGCTAAGGTTGGAGAAGCCTTTGAATTGATTAGTGGACAAGGTCAAAAGCTAGTATTTATCTTTTAGATAAGTTTAGTTATATAATTTTAATATATATCGATAGTTTATGTTAGTTAAATGGTGATAATTATCTCTAGGATTAGTTTATTTTGAATTTAAATTCAGTGATGAGATAAAGTTTTATTGTAATTAGAATACTTATTAGTAGGAGTTTGTTTCTAATAATTTCTATAAATAAACAAAAAAACATGCTGAGATAAAGGTCCAGCACCTTCAGAATCATTATTATTATTTGTTTACTTTCTCAAGCTTTTCCAAGAATAGCATCCTTGTTATTTCTTCTTTCTCTCTATCTATCTATCTCAATCTTTCGATCTCTATCTCTATATCTATCTCAATCTCTCGATCTCTATCTCTCTCTTCTTAATCTTTCTTTCTATTTCTTTCTATATCTGTTTCTCCATTTTTCTATTCTCTTAACTTATTATAATTTGTTCATTGAGAAGTCCTATACAATTCTGAACTCAAAGAGGAGTTTTTATTGTTCCCTTTTTTCTTCGCAATTACCTAAAAGTTAACTTTCTCAAATGGACTATAGTTGATAATTTACAATTGAACCATATATTCGGTTCTGACCCACCGATTTACATCAAATTAAGATCAGATTTTAGGATCCAATTTTAGATTCAACACCAAAAATGTTGACAAAAGATCTACAATTTGGTCCGTGGAAAAGCTTTCCAATTCCCACTTGAACCATTGACAATCCCCAACAAGTAACATGTTTGTCCGGGTCTTACTACGTCACTCGTAACGAATGATAGACAATTTTGTTGAAAATTTACAAAGTGACAAAATGGTAATAGAATCGTCAATTCTTATTTGGTCCAACAAAGTGAGAAAATGGTACTATAATCGTCGGTGTCACACGGCACGAAGGAGCCGCCAATGTAGACTACATATATATATATATATATATATATATATATATAGTAACAGCGTTCTGTGGACCCCACGTTCATACCTACCAATTGTAAGAGACTATCAAAGCCATTAGTGTCTTAACATTATCCATCTATCTATTTTGCCTCTGCGTGTGTGTATAAATATATATAGTACTACTTATAATATAGCAAAGAGCTCTGAACTGTCACACAAATAATTTGGCGGAGAGAGAAAGATGAGCAACAAGGAAGCAGTCGCAATGACAGAGTCATATCCGATGGAAGGTGGAGATGGCACTTACAGCTACACCAAGAACTCCACCTATCAGGTACTAAATTATGTGTGTATATCAGCATCTGATTATTTTGTTGAATAGGTACTCTTGTTCTATAAATTATTAGATTTGCCTTTGGTATTTGCTTAGGCAAAAGAATATTGCTTTTAAGCAGTGGTTACAGATAGGTTTCACGGTTAGATGATTACCAACAAAACTGCGAAATGAACTTTTGTGACATAATTTGGGAACTTGAGCTCAAATGAGGTTTTCTTCTCTGGAATGGAGGATGTTTTAAGTAAAAATTATATTTTAGTTGCTATAGTGTATTGTGTGTATCTATATGTTTGTTTTTTTTTTTTGTTATTCTGTGTTGCCTTTTGTTGTTACGTGTTTTATTTTTGTTAATTGGTTCAGGATTTGGAATAGGGTTTGGTTGGGGACACAAGTACGTGATCAACCAACTATTATTTTAATGACATAGAGAAATAGCGCTATGTGCGCCAAGATTTGGGAATGTATGAACATAGGATTGGGTAGACATATCAATGCCTAGCCAATCTATCGGATCTGGATATGCATCACTATGGTATGCTACTTCGGAAGGGATAGTTAAACTATCAACACGAGTCAAATAATCTACAATGATTAGATTCATATGCTCTATGCTAGGTAGGGATTCATTTTTACAACGCTATAATAATAGTGATTGTTAACACTTTAGGGATTCATGAGGATGTGGTAAGTAAAGATCACTGTAATGCCATTATGGCTCGGATGGAGGATTACGTGCTGGTAGGTACTTATTAAAATGACGCCGAGGAAGGATAGTGGACTGATGAAAGCTTTATCAGTCTATTCATGATTACGATACTATTTATAAGGGTGTCATTGGGAGGAGTGGTTGGTGTGCACTTAGAGGAGGAACCAAAGTTTCTACACTATATAAAATGTGCAATTTTTTTTTTTTTTTTTAGGGTCCTAATTTGCAACAATTAGTTGTTGCTTTCACATTGATGACTATACGGAGGATGGGAAAAGTTTCATAAACTTTTGAAGCAGGATAAGGGGTCAAATTGACACTACTTATATTACAAAGGTAGGGTGTGTCAAAGATAGGAAGGTGGGACCGGTCACTTGTCATCAGGAAGCGGTGCACAGTGTGCGTGAAAAATTCATACTATAGGGTTAGCTTTTAACAATGCTCCAAATTAAGTATTGGGTGCAGACGGAAGCTGGTGGTACCAGACTAATGGTACTTTTGGTAGACGGATTGGGAGGAGGATGCCGGGACTGAGGGACACAACACTTAGTTCATTCTTCATTCTGGCGGATAATATGATTCACTCACGATCTGGAGCAGATTTTTGAGGGCCAGGATGAGGTACAGTGGATTTTTGTTTTCCAGTCTAATATAATTAGATGGTCGAGATGGACTAGCAGAGATCACTAGATCTTTGCAGTTATTTTGTATGCAAAAGTAGAAATGATAGAACATTTTTCACGGAATTAGTTGAGGGATTGCAGACTATTCAGAAAGGTCTGGATTTTGGTTGGGCTGTTAGTTTAGTTTCTTGTTTAAATCAGCCCAATGCTAGTTTATTTTTGAACTAGTGGAATATCAATTCATATGAATAAAGGGGACTACAAGACGACTTAGATGCATCAACGTGGTGATTTATACTTTGCATTAAGTTTTGTTTGGTGGAATGGAATGTGAAGGTAGGCGCTCTCAGCAACCGATAGGAGCTTTCGGTTATTTGTTGCATTAGGAGTTGAAGTCTTAGTATGTGTACTAATGACATTTGCTTTACCAAGGAAATTAAGGGGGGTCCACCTCAAATATCGGAACTGACCCTGGAGGCCGTGCTACCTTATTCAGAAAGAGCTTAAGGTGCTCGGGAAGTATTCGTTGATTCGGTGAATGTTGTAGGAGTGACTGAGATGTAAAATTTGTAGAAATTTTCTCGATACACTCGGACGGTTATAAGACATCAAATGTCAGTTCTAGTGAATAAGTTTGGGAAAGGACATGTATATAAACATCTATACGAGTAACACCTGATAGGAAAAGGGAGTAAGCCTAGTCAGAAGTGGATAGTTGGTCGAGATTATCGACATTTATTGGAATTATTAATTCCATACGGATTAAGAGTGGTAGATTGAGCAAGTTTGCTGCTAGACCTAATTCTCATAATGTTCACTTTTGGACTTCGTATTAGTTCTACATTGCACTGATAATGGAGGTATAGCTGTGCTTCATATCTCTCAACGGGGGATTGGATCGAGAATGTATATTCGATCATGGAGGAGATACATGAGATAGATATCCAAAGTTTTTATGGGAAGTTTGGAAATGCTTACTTCACTTCTCATATTATTGGCACAAGGAGGTTAGTATGACAACATAGGGGGTTTTGTATTTTATATGGTGCCAACCTCTTACCTGTTGGTTTGTAATCGTAGCAAGGGTTATCCAATAAGACCCTGGCTTCCTTAACGGAAACATCGGAGAGGAATACTCTTCTTGGTGGTGAATTGTGCGCCGTTCGGTGACGGCAGTATAATTATTGTTAATCGTTACACTCATACATTAGCATTCTCTATCAAAAAATAGTTAATTGGGATGTCTTCCATATCGGCAGCAAGGAGCGTTATTACGGAAGGTCAGTTTTTATGTATTAATTAAATTGACTTTTCATGGATGGTATTTCTCCATTTAGGCGGTAGCCTATCGATTAGTGTTTTAAAACATTGGGATGGGCTGCATAGAAGTTTTACACATCTATGCTGTAGAATTTGGAGGAATATGGATCTTTACCCTGTATCAAAATTTGGGTCAGGATGCGTAGTTGCTAAATACAATTTAAGTGCTGAATAATTTTTGTGTTTCCTTTCTATCGGACCCATAAATTGTTCTTGGCGGATTTGGAATGTGGTGGAGCCTATACACAAAGGCAGAGTCCACAACGGAACGGGAATGAGTTTTAAGATAATTCAAGGTTTTGTGAATTCCGAGGACGGAATTCCGTTTGTTAGGGGGAGGAAGAATGTAATACCCCTAATTTTAAAAAAGGATAAAAGTGAAATTTTATTATTTATTTTATTATTTTTGGGTGCTTACGTGGTTAGGTGATTGGGGATTTTCATGATGTGTTTTGAATTGAATTAAATTGTTTGTTTTAAGTGTTTTATTATTTATTGAGTTTATTGTTTTATTTAATTAAATTACTTGATAAATGGTATTTTTTTGTGCTAATTGTATTTTTTATTTTTGGAATTTATTATTTTTTTTTGTTAAGGACTTATTAGTTATTTTAATGGAATTAATTGGATTTTCATTAGTATTGTTAATTGTAATAATAATATTAGGGTTTTGGTATTTTTATGGGCTTGCCGACATAATTAATTAGGTTTCAAGTTTAGGGTTTTATTGACTTAAGATTTGGAATTAGTTATAAATATATAACTTATACGTCTCTAGGATTTGAGAACCCGATTCATGACACAGTGAAGGTAGAACATCATAACAAAGACTTGTGAGAAAACTGAACGAGAGAAAATTGAGCGATAGCAGTTAGGGTTTTGGCCAAGGATTGTAGGCCAGACCAAGGAGGAAGGTTGGGGGATGTTTATGGGTTAAACCAAGACTAGCAAAGAAGGTTCAATGGAACTAAGTTCGCCGGAAAAACCTAGGAAGAAGATAGTGAAAGGTTTCAGATCGAAACCTTAAAGTGGCAAGTCTTTTCTTTCTCCTTCCCTTTGGCATGTGTTCTGTGCACCTAGATAATCTTTAGGGATTAATTGGACATTAATTTAACCAAGCATGACTATTATATGTTAAGTTTAATTATCTGTTATCCGTAAAATTTATCTGTAATAGTTGTATCATGTATGGTTGCATCGTCTCTGTCTTAGAGTAAAAAGGTCGTCACTGTTTTAACATGGTATTGAGTTTGACTGCTATAAACGAAGGTCTAAATTAATACTAGATGAGATTTAAAACCTTTAAAAATTTAAATTAGAGGAAGAACAGAGGGTTAGAAAGGAACTATTGTTGCAAATTAATTTCAGTTTAATTCCTTAAGCGTGTTTCAGTTCAGTAGCAAATTTAATTCAAACTTAAATTCCTGTAATTGATTCCAATAATTGTAATGAACTAATGGGATGCTACTGGGTGTTAATTAAACTCCTAAGTTCAGTTTTAAAATCCAACAAAGTGACAGGAATAAGCCGGTGAAAGAGCAGAGAAGCTGAAACGAAGCAGAACGGAGAGAAGGCCCACAGGGGGGAAGAGAGCCGGGTCTGGAATGCCAAGAGCCGGCTCCCACCTGATTAGAGCCGGCTCCAAGGTTGTATGGAGCCGGCTCTAGGCTGAATTGGAGCCTGCTCTAATTTTTCCAAGAGCAAGCACTTTCCTAATTTGGGGCATATTGTAATTTTTAGCTACTATTTGGGCACTTGGGTTCTTAAACAGTTTTAAAACTTTAGTGGGGTTTTCAATGATTATTTTAACACGTAATCAAGGTCTTGAATTGCATAAAACACCCCCTTTGTGTTAATGGAATTAACAGTGTGCTATTTAAAAACTATGCGTACGGTTAACGACTAGAAGGAAATTAATTGTCTAGTTTTAATTCGACAATTTAAGATGCTATAACATGATTCTAAATTAAGTTTTAGATGCACGGTGGAGTCTTTTAATTAACAAATTAGACTTGTGGCATAGTGTATGGCTCTGCTAAACGATAGAACTAAATACAAGTATAAAACTTAGTACGCTGTTATCGGATGGAAATAACTAAATTGCTTAAATTAATCTAGAAAATTTATTAGACTATAATATGATTATACAATTTGTTTAAATGCATGATAGAGTTTTTGATTTATTAAAACTAATCTATGCATGCTCTGGATGCTGGTTGTTGAACTATTAAATCATTTCTTGCAATTACATGGTTTAGGTCTTGGATTTAAATTGCTGAAACTTTGAACACTTTTCTGCAATGATATGGATAATTGGTTTTGCACTGTAAATTACTTACTTATTATTT